GCCTCCCAAAGTGTTGGGATCACAGGCATAAGCCACTGCACCCAGCCAAGTACATCGTCTTTAATGACTGCATAATCCCCTCTCATATGGCTATTCCAAATTTAACTAAGCATCCCCTACTGTAGGGCTGTTAGGTTGTTTCTGACCTCTCATTATTATAAATAACACAAGGATGAACACAGACAGAGGATTATTCAGCTCTTACCCTAGGCTTCGAGAACAAAGACAAAATAGATATTGGGGGAGGGGGCTGAGACACCCTGCCTGCTCCATCCAGGGAAAAGAGTTCAGGGCCCTTCCTCCTCACTTTTTATAAACACGGCAAAGCAGAGGAGCTCTCTGGTGAAGAGAGAGACAGGGCCCTTCTGACCACACCCCAGAATCTACTAAGAAAATGGTGAGGGCATCATATCAGTGACTATAGGGCCCCGACCTCCCCTCTTCTTCCTCTAGGAGAGGAGTGCCTTTGACCACTCTGACCCAGCTAGGTGCACATTCTCCTCTGCGTGCTTCAACACTCCCAGACACTGATAAAGGTTTTTATGTTGCTCCCCAAGACACTGGAAGAAACTAGCCCTGGCCTGGAGCCAAATTCCTTAAACCCTCAATAAACTCCACATCCTGACCCGCTCCTGGTGGAACATCCCTTTCTCTCCTGTCTGCCACAGCAGGGGTCTCCAAACCCTGGGCCGTGGACCACAGACCAACACCGGCCCATGGGTTAGGAGCCAGGCCGCACAGCAGGAGGCGAGGATCCGGTGGGTGAGAGAGCATTAACGCCTGAGCTCCACCTCCTGGCTAATCAGGTGCGCCATTAGATTCTCATAGGAGCGGAACCCTATTGTGAGCTGCACAAGCAAGGGATCTAAGTCGTGCGCTCCTTATGAGAATCTAATGCCTGACGATCTCAGGTGGAACAGTTTCATCCTGAAACCATCACCCTACCCTACCCCCACAAACCTGGTGGAAAAATTGTCTTCCACAAAACCAGTCCCCGGTGCCAAAAAGGTTGGGGACCCTGTGCCAGAGGATGCACTGCAGCCCACTCTGTAAGTCGGTTCCTCTATTAAGTGCTTTAGACTGATCATCCTAGCGTTTAGTGCTTCTTTCTTTGGAATCCCAACCAGCCCCATCATGGGACGGTTTGCGGCTCTCCCATGCAGGAACTCCCTTGCCACTGTCTTTGGGATGACTCCAGCCGCCGGTAAGTGGGACAAAATACTAACAAAGCAGCAAGCCACCGTTTATAGCTGTTTTTCATCACACTCTAGTTTTTCCTTCATTATCTTGAATCCCACCCAGCATTTTTCAGTCCCTGCACATGGTTCTTGGTTTGCCGCTTCTTCCTGGAGTCGCTGTGACACTTGGAAAACTGGGACAAGAGGAATTTAAAGCATTAACTGCAGGGCACCACACCCTGATGCTTCAAATCACCTAACAGAGAGGAAAAGACTACCTGCTTACCAGCTACAGAATAAACATGGGGGCAAAAGTGTTTCAAAAATTGCCCATTATTATATAAATACGAGTTATTTTTTGACAACCCCAGTGCAGTGATTCTCAACACCATGGACATTTGCAGAGAACAGCTCTTAGTGAACAGGCCTGTCCCACACGTTAAAAGATATTTTAGCATTCCCTGATCCCTACCCACTAAATACTAACAGCACACTCTCTCCCTGTCACAACCTAAAACTTACCTGCTTCCCCATTCCCAGGGCTACAGTGGCAGGAAGATATTAAGACGTAATAGAGATTTACTCCACGTGATGCAAAACCTATGTTGCAGAGAAGCTCTGCAAAATCCGACTGCAATTTTAAACACACTAATGAGAGCTCTATTTAAAGAGCTACCCAATAGGCAGTTTTGTTGATGCTGTTGTTTTCTTACGCTTCACAATGTGTCTGCATCTGAAGACCTAATTTACTATGTGATAATAAGTTTGGCTTTTTCATCACTGCCAATCATTTTCTTCAAGCCTACCTCATGGGTCTGACGCAGCCCAAGTTGTACTGAGAACCATTTCAATGCATGCAAACTGTCTGTTATGTGCTCGTGTCACCCTTGTGATTACTTGCTAGAAGGGTTAAAATTCAAAAGCTATAATCTCACATGCTTATGATTTTGCAACTGGATTTTACCAAGACACACCATCTATATATTCACAGCAGCAAAGGAATAAAATCTAGTCCCCTAGAAAAATAAACACTCACCTCCGCTTATCATTAAAGAAGTTTGGCTTCTCCGCCTGAACAATGACCACATCGAACAGGTCCCTCCAGTCTTTCCCAACGATATAACTCATCCCTTTGTCCCTAGGGCAACAAGTCAGCCAGGTTAGTCTAACATTGAAGGGATTAACTATGTTTGTAACTTTTTCTTTCCAATTTCCAACTGCTAAAACAAATGGGATACAAGGAGTGTGCCAGAAGCTAGCAATGAAACACAGAGCAACTTACACAAAGCTACTGGGGCTATTGGTGATGAGAAACATCTTCTTGCCATGATCAGCCAGTTTGGCCAACACTGCACGGGTCTGCTCAGCATAGCAGATGTACTTTTCTAAGAGCAAGAGAAAAATTCACACACAGATTCAGCATGATTATTGGTCAATCTGCAAGTACCTTCTAAATGGGGATACGGGTCCAGCACTGTCCTAGGCACAGGAGAGGGAATAAAGGCCTTAAGGAAGAAGCTTTGCCCAGTGGAACATGGGTACATCTGGTGCATCAGTCACAAAGACCCTGCCTCCTCGGTCTAAGTGGAAACAACTAAGTGGCTATAGCTGCCAGCGCCTCTCTTTTTAAGTCAGAATTATGTCAAGTTCCAGGACAAAGAGGAGACGGCTAACATGCCAGGATGCCAGGTCCTTACAGAGCACTCATGCAGCCCCTGCTTAGCACCTGGAATGCAAAGTAAAATGCCGGCATGGTTGCACAAGAAACGGAAGGCTGAAACTCTCTTTGCGATACTGCTGAGCACATACCAATGTCCGCTTCAATTGCTCTGTACATTATTCCTTTGATGTGGACGTCTCGAATTGAATCCTGCCAAAAGATACATTTTTAATCAGCGAAAATACAACTGAGATAGCCTGAGTAACAGAACATGTGAAATGGCAGTCATGATAACTTCTATCCCTAGAAAGTCCGACAATACAGGCACTACACAAAATTTAAATTCTGGTACATTTTCTCTATTTTTTTTTTTTTTTTTGAGACACAGTCTTGTTTTATCACCCAGGCTGAAGTGCAGTGGTGCCGTCTCAGCTCAATGCAGCCTCTGCCTCCTGGGTTCAAGTGATTTTCCTGCCTCAGCCTCCAGAGTAGTTGGGATTACAGGTGCCCGCCAGCACACCAGGCTAATTTTTGTGTTTTTAATAGAGACGGAGTTTCACCATTTTGGTCAGGCTGGTCTCGAACTCCTGGCCTCAAGTAATCCGGCTGCCTTAGCTGCCCAAAGTGCTGGGATTGCAGGTGTGAGCCACCACACAAGGCCAATTCTGGTCCATTTTCATAGGCAGCCCCTTGTGAAAGCAAAAGTTTCCATGGTGATGGTGGCAATTTCCAATGCAATTTTCAAAAGAGTGTTTGGAAGAGGTAATTTCTATGAATAATTCCGAATAAAGTCCCACATGATACACGGTAATTTATATGCAGTATTGTGAACAAATGATCCCAGGCCATCTGGACAAAGGGAGTTATTGCTCTTTTATCTTTGTGCCCTTTCCGTCCCTAGACCCCAATTGCAAATTCTCTAACACGGAATGAGAGGCAGAGATAAACAGCTAACAGGTTTCTCCTTCTCTCTTTGGTGCCACCAGTAGGGCAACGAACTGGCAGTGAGACTGTAGCTCAGGCAGAGATGTGGTCCAGGGAGAGGAAGAGTAGGTGGTTAAGTTAAACCCTCTGTGGGTTCAGGAGTGTGGCAGCATGAGAGCTGGCAATTGTCAAAAAAGGGTCCCACTGGCAGGTGACACTGCACAGGGCCTCTACGTGGTGACATTCCTAGAGGCCTATGGACATTTTCTAGAGCCAGTAGCAGGAGACAGGGCTGCAGGCAAAATTGTGTCTAAGCCTTAGACTGTTGCTGGGAGATTTCTGTTAAGAGGGAGCACTTCTGGACTGCAATCTCAACTTCAATTACCTTTCAGCACAAGCCTGATTCAATTTCACACCAGCAGCAGAAGGCAGTAGTTAAATGCAAGATGGACTGTCTGGCTTAAAATCAAGGCTCTGCTATTTACCAGCTGTGTGACCTTGGGCAAGCAAGTCAACCTCACTGTGCCTCGATGTCCGTATTTGTAAAATGGTAAGAATAGTGCCTACTTTGGCATTATTATGAAGATTTAGTAAGTTAACATGCCTAAAGCACTCATAAGAACAGTGCCTGGGACCTAGTAAACTCTACACAAGTATTTGTTCTTGGTGGTAGTAACACTTGCAGTAAAAACTGAGCTTTCAAATCAACATCTCGCCTTACGAATGCACAGGGCTGCTACAAGTGATTCTTAGATTTTTAAAGACAAACTGTATATACAAGAGAACAGAAACTAAATACCTAAATTCAATTTGGATAATACCACACTGATATTGAGAAACTATAATTTATCCTCTATCTTCCTAAAACCCAGGATTCACGCTGCCAAAACTTAAATTTACTTATAAATACATAGCAAAAATATTTTAGTGTGTAAATATGTATCTTTAAAAAATATAAATATTTTAAATACATATATTGATAAATATATGTTGTAACTATGTAAATACATATAAAATAATATAAACATGTTTTAGTACTAAAATGTTCATACAGCTTAAAGAACATATATAAATATATAAACATGTGAATATAAAATACATAAATTTATAAATACAAATGATTTGTACAGTAAGTCCTTAACATCTTCAGTAGGTTCTTAGACACTGCAACTCTATGTGAAACAACATAAAGCAAAATCAATTTTTTTCCTTGTCAACATTAACATGACATTGAAGAAACTGGCGTTATTCAAGGATCTGTTGTACATGGTTTCACTTAAAGTCACGGTTGCCGAGAACCTATGGGCAACAGTAAGTATTCACATATGTTCACATAAACATTTACATTTGTCTACATCCCCTGTCCCCTAACTGGATTCTTGCATGGCTTTTGCAGGACTTTAGAGAGCCACATGGAACCTTTGTGGGCAAAGGAAAAAGGCATCCCCTCTGGGCAACTACAGTGGCACAAGTCCCCCAGTTGGGGGCTTGAATGTAACCTGTGTGATGAAGAGGCACCCTGGCCAGGCGTAGTGGCTCAAGCCTGTAATCCCAGTACTTTGGGAGGTTGAGGTGGGCCAATCACTTGAGGTTAGGAGTTGCACACGAGCCTGGCCAACATGGTGAAACCTCGTCTCTACTAAAAATACAAAAATTAGCCGGGCGTGGTGGCAGGCGCCTGTAATCCCAGCTACTTGGGAGGCTGAGGCAGGAGAATCACTTGAACCTGGGAGGTAGAGGTTGCAGTGAGCCATGATCGCACCACTGCACTCCAGCCTGAGTGACAGAGCAAGACTCTGTTCAAAAAAAAAAAAAAAAGAAAAAAAGAGGAGGAGGCACCGCCTTGCTTGGGCAGACTCAGGAGTGAGTGGGTACAGGCCGGACTTCCATCCCCATCATCCCTTTGGCCAAGTGCACCGGCTCTGGCCTTGGCCTTCTGGTCAGAAAGGATCAAAAATCGAGATAACAGTGTCAGCACCATCTTGTTTTAACAAAAATTTTGACTGATTTCCAATTCTCCTGATGTAACAACACCTTTCTTATAATGTTCAAGGTTAAACCGCATATAAGAGTTCCCAGCTAAGAGACTATTTAAAACACCTAACCTAGAAAGGAGGTTCAAGGCTCTGTGACTCCCACTGCAAAGCTGAAACAGACTCAGCACCGTGATCTCTCACTGTGGATACAACCTTGACATCTTTGTACAGATGCACAGGCTCATAGTCGATGTTGTTCTTGAGGAAGTATTCATTCACACAGGACAGGAGGGTCATCTCGGGCAGGGAGAAGATGTCCATGAACTGCTTCATCGTGTTTCCATGAGAGCTCTGTAGACAGGGAGGAAGGAGTGCTTTAGAAACAGGGGCCCATGCCAGGGGCAGAGCTATGAAGCACCAGGAACAGCAGGAAGACTTCTCAGTGACTAAATGAGATTCCCATCATCAACACAAAAAAGGAAAGTTCTAATAAAAAAATAATAAAATGGGCCAGGCGTGGTGGCTCACGCCTGTAATCCCAGCACTTTGGGAGGCCAAGGCAGGTGGATCACCTGAGGTCAAGAGTTCAAGATCAGCCTGGACAACATCGTGAAACCCCATCTCCTGTCTCTTATACACATCTAGATGTGTATAAGAGACAGCCTGCTTAGCACCTGGAATGCAAAGTAAAATGCCGGCATGGTTGCACAAGAAACGGAAGGCTGAAACTCTCTTTGCGATACTGCTGAGCACATAC